CCTGCCAAACAATGACAACTACAACCAAAAAATAGCCAGGCATTGTGGCAGGCACCTATAGTCCCAGCTACTTGGGAGGCTGAAGCAAGAGAATCACTTAAGCCCAGGAGTTGGAGGTTGCTGTGAGCTGTGACACCATTGCACTCTACCCAGGGCCATAGCTTGAGGTTCTTTCTCCAAAAAAAAAAAAAAAAACTCAAGTGACTTATTTTACATAAAGGCAGTATATTGAAATAATAATAAGACTTGGATATATTGAGTTAAATAAAATACTTATATTGAGATTAATTTAACTTTTTAAAAAGTTTTTCTAGTGTGGCTACTAGATATTTGAAAATTGGAATTATATTTATGCCTGTAGTGGACATGCACTATGTGGATAATGATTTTTGCAGATTTGCCTATGGGATAGGGCCACTCTTAGAAGTTTTAAAAATTCTAATAAGTTGGGGGAGGAGAAAGGAGGGAATGGGTAAATTCACACCTGTTGGGTACAGTGCATCCCATCTGGGTGAAGGGCACACTTAAAACCCTGACTCTGTCTGTACAAAAAACATGTAAACAAATATGTATACCCCCTAATATCCTAAAATTTAAAACAAAAAAATAAAAAGGGTGGGGACATACTGAGATTTAGATAAAAGTACAATTATGTGTGCAGTTCCCATATGCTAAGTCAAGTACTCTGTAACGTGAACTCAAGAGGAAACCAAGTATTTTATTATAAGTTTCCTGTAAATTGAACTAAATCAACATTTGAAACAGTCTAAATTAATTGCCACAAGGCTTTAATTTGAATTGAAGTGCTAAGGCACCACCTCCAGGTATATTAACCACCCTCACGTGTTCAGTGATCTGTTCAGGCTGCTCAGGTGTTGGTGTCTTTGTTCAGTGCCACTCATGTTTTTACTTCAATAGGATGTAGAATCCTACATTCATCGTTCTGGGCGGACAGGAAGAGCTGGAAGGACAGGGGTTTGCATCTGCTTTTATCAGCACAAGGAAGAATATCAGTTGGTGCAAGTGGAACAAAAAGCGGTAAAACTATTTTCTTAGCTTTCATTCAGCAAATGTCAAGTTCTTCATTCAATTTTTACTTACCTTAAATTTTATTATTTTTATTTCTGGCATGTGACTTAAAACTTTTGTTAGGTACATGTTGTTTTATGTTGTCCTGTGATAATAAAGCCAATTTTGTAATATTTTTACATTTGAAAATACTAGTTTTGTTTTCATGTTTGAAGGGTAAATTTTAGACAATGGTAATGTGACCATATCAGAAATATTTTTGCTTGCAAACCAAAAAATGGACATATATCAAAAGGATAATAGCAAGAAGAGATTAATTTTCCTTACAGAAGAATTGGAATTTTTTTTTTTT